ATTATATTATATAAGCTTTGTAATTGATTAAAGCACAATTTTATGTACATTTTGCAAATTCGTCATGTTATTCCATTTGTTTTTATCCTAGAACTGAGACAAAATTGATTTGGGATAGGCTATCTTTTGCTTGCTATCTTCTTAAGTTTGATGCTTTTACTATGCTTTACTTGGCCTTAAAAATTAAATGTTCGATTTGTTGATGATTCACATGCTCGTTTGTCAGAGAAGGCCATTTTAGGCACAATTCTTGTGTCGTTGCAGGATGCCTGCTAATTGGAGTGTTGATAGCGTCAGGGTTCTCAAGTAATTAGCTCTAACTTGTGAATTCCTCCTTTTTATAATTCTTAAAGCTGCTGGCTCTGCCTGTCGTCGCAAGGCTCCAGCACCCGCTCCTCCTCCTTCAGATCTCCTGACTACAAATGTATCTTCTCAGCCTGAGATCAGCATTTCTACAAGCTCAGGAACTCTCCAGAGTATTACCTCATTGATGACCGGCTCTGGCCCACTAGCTGAGGCAAAAGCTGTTGGCGCAAAGATTCCAAGTTTTGTCGAACCAACAAGCAGATAGAAGAAATACTTTTCGATGTTTTTGTCACTTCCTCTTCTCTAACCCTCGCTTCCTGTGCTTTCAATCTTTCGAAAACCATATCAAAGTAAGATCTTCGATTTTCCATTCTCCTTATAGGCTACTCCCGCGAGTAGCGGAAGTATTATCTCGACCTCAAATTTCGCTATCTGTCATTCTGTCCCTGTGTACTTTTTAGCTAAGATCCGAGCGTTTTACTGACAAATTAATGTATTGCATTTTGATCATTCAGCCTGGCCCGCGAATAGATTGCCTCGATTTCTGCCATGGATATGAGAAGACAGCTTCAGGGAAAATCGCATTTTATGTCCTACCTATTTTTCTGTCAATATTTCAACACACAAGCCTGCTTTGCATCGCTTGCTCTCCGTATGTATTTTGTGCTTACAATTTAAGTACGCATTTTACCCCCACTCGGATTAACTTCTTACACATGAGTGTCTCTAGCACTCTTCTTTTGACACCTTTTTCAATACCTAAAAGTTGTAAGATAAGAAATTTGAATCTACCACAACTCCTCTTTACGTATAACTCTTTATCGCTCTCACTTTTCCCTCACTCCTAGTCCTTGTAAATTCCTTACCAAGTTTCTAACTGCTTTGACTTTATGCTAACATGCATTGGCTGTCCAAACTGCCGAATCACGAACTTCTGAGACGACTTTTATTATGCTACTTAACATAATCTTTGCAATAGCAATAGAATTTGCTCACTGAAATTATAATTGATCTATAAGATTGTTAGGAATCTCTTTATATCGTGCTCAGCAAATTTTTTGAAACTGAATTGCTTTCCTCCCGCCTTACTCCTT